GGGGATGTATTTTGTATGTTTTATTAGCCCTGTTTGAGCGGCCGAGCCTCGGCAGCACAAGGCCCAAGCCTGGCCCGGGTCACCTGGCAGATATCGTCTTTGAGCATCCTCCGAGAAATTTAAGAACTAACCAGCGGTAGCAGCGTAGCTAGCCGGCTAAACCACCGTTTAAAGGGGAGGAGGTAAGCGTCCGTGTGAGCGATATCGTCACTAATCGTTAAAATTGAACACCGCACACTCGTATTCATTAACACTAATATGATCGGTATCTTATTTTAAGCTAACTTCCTAATGATCTAAACCAGCATCCGCTAACTTGGACGAACGGCACACCAAGATCCATTCAGAAAACGTCTAATTTTAACATTTCTCCTCCTGTCAAAGGACGCGTACTTCAAGTTTATTGTGATAAAATTCTTCATAAGCTGCTGCTTAGATCGGCTTAAAGGAAACCTTTTTTCTGCACAGTGATCTCATCTGCTGTGCAGTTTCCATCTGTCACTTTGTGAACACCGCGGTGGGCTGCCGGTGTTTAATCATGTTTCTATTGTGTCAGTTATTCACTGTAACTGTGGCGCGCATCTGTTCCATCTGTAGTTACTTACTGGGTGAGTCTCGACTGCAAGTTCTTGCAATACGTGAACTTGAGGACATTTAAGCAGTAATGTTGTAGCGAGCACTAAAATTCCCTTTGACTCAGTGAACTGTTTTCACTTCCTTAGAAAAGCAGAGTCTGTCTGTTTCTTCGTTTCTTATTTAGAGGGTGAAATGTTGAATCCTTTAGATAGAAATACAGACAGACATGAGTGAGTAAGCTGGGGAATTTCTGTGATTTCTGTTTATATGACTATACTTGAGAATGGCGTCACCTGTAGGCTGTGGGGAAATCACCACGCATTCGTGATTATAGATCCTTCATTAGTATCCTGTGATGAGTGCTGGAGCTTACTATTTTAATATTAGGTTTTAAGTGTAGATATTACATATAAATAGGCGATATAAATATGTAATAAGGGTTGTTTTTGATCAGTTATCTGTGGAGGTTGGATTCTAAAACTGCAATCTAGTTAAACCTAGCTAAACAAACGTAGTCTCAGAAGATAAATGTTACTTCAGATAATGAGTGCATTAGAAATCTGTTCAGATAATATGAGATGGACTCCATTTGTCTCAGAGATGGGAAATTCGCAGCAAAGTGGACGAGGCAGCATGCCGAAGAACAACAATCGAAGAGAATATACACTATACAAGGGAGAAGAAATTTATATCTATATATACAGTAGTGCAGTACACTGGTAGCAGAATATTACAGTTTCAATGTTGGAGTTTATTTTTTGTCTATGATCACTGTTAATTAGTTAATGTCGCCAAATGATGCCCCATGCTTCATTGCTCTGTCTGTAGAATAAATTAAACATCTTTTGGGAAGTTTCATCAATAATCAATCATTAAAAAGTGCTCAGCTCTCCAGTGTACGAGGGGCAGCCAATCAGAAGAATTTTGGCTTCAGGTGGGAGGGGCTAATAACAGTTTGTGGAAAAGGATAAATTGAGGCGCTGCTCCCAGGAAGGCCCGGGATAAGATGCCCACCGATTACACAAGGACTGTAATAGAGTCCAAGAATAAAACAAATGTAATCGTTTCACTCTCAGTGTTGCCTCTTCTTGACGTGTCAACATATCTACCGTCTGTTTTTGTCCACAGGAAGAAGAGGAGAGAAGAGATGAGTGCAGTTCTGGTTCTGATGTTTCTCTTCGCCGTGAGTGGCGACTCATTAGGCGCCGTTACAGACTGCAGCGGGTCCACAATGGAAACCAACAGCGCGGTTCGTTTACTGTCCTCTGTCGTCGACGCCCAGA